AAAAAAAAAAAAAAAAAAAAAAAGTACATAAAGTAGTACAAAAGACACTTATAGGTTTAGAGTAGGATATGAAAATTAGCTTCCCTTAAGAAGCACCAGTCTCAGGCCACTACAGGGTCTTTATTTAAGACAGATACAATCTTTTCAGGGGAAAATGGAATTGGATTCAGCTTACACAAGAAGCTCAGTGGGAATTGCAAATTTAAAATAGTCACACTCTTCTACATCCTCCCACACAACACTATCCTTTCTCTCAGCCCCACAATGCCCTTTCACAATCAAAATCCTAAATTCCAAATGAAAGACTGGGAGTTTAGGCAAACAATGAAAAGGATACACAAGGTCATAAATTTTTTGTACAGAATTCCTGGGTTTCAGTCTGTGTCTTGAGCAGAGCATTTAGGAATTTGAACTCACCATTCTTTTTCTTTTCACTGGCCAGCCCCACTGGAAGCAACCACTCTCATGAAGTAGTCCTTCATGTCCTTTGTACTATTTGGCTGAGAGTGGTTACTCAACTACCAAAGCCTTGTTTCCAGTGTTCACTTCATCCAAGATAAGCACAGATGATCATTAAACAGCTAGCTGCCAGTGCATGCCAGAGAAAGCTTGAGTCCCATTCTTTAATGCCAACTGGGTTACCCCTGTGTTCAGCCCAACCAACAGAGATAACCAAATCTTACATCTCCTTGGGGGTCCTTAAAGGGAGCCATCACTCTTGGGTCCTGAATTCTGAATCTGATAATTATTCATCAAAAGCAGTATAAACCAATGATAAATATGTCAAAAGTAGATCTTCTATAAGCCTATCAAGCAACTTATAGTCTCTCAAAAGGGTGGACGATGGGGCTCAGAAAGGGGGAGGTCCACACATGGGAAATGAGCCAACATCTTGCCCAGAGCATGCTGTGGTGGAAACATGGACATTATCAACTGTTCTTACTTCTGGAAACTGGATTTGATGCCCTAGTGTTGTTTTCTTTACATTGTTCTGAATATGCATCCTTTTCTAATAATTTGGAACATTTACAGTATAGTCTTCATTGTTGTTCCCTTAGTGGTTATCTCTAAATCTGTATTTTCATCATTTGATACAACTTCTCTCCTTGGAGGTAGCACTTATTCCCCACTATGAGAGATGAAAAAACAGGTATTCTTAACAAATTTTATTAATTTTCTTCTCTGAGAGTTTGGTATTAAATCTGGAATTGTATTTCCCTTACATCATTTCCAAGGGACTATACTTATTGAAACTAATTAAACTGGGTTACCCTTGATGCTTCTGCCTAGATCTACGATAAAGTTTAGCCTCCAAACTGACAGCTCTCATGTAATAAAGTCTTCAAAAGGTTTCAGTGTTGAACAACCTCTTTGGTGTAAAACGGTCATCCAATGTACATCCATGATAGGCCTAGGGATGTAGAACATTTGCCTAGCATGTGGGAAGCCCTGGGTTCAATCTTACAGTACCAAAAAGAAAGTTATAACAAAATATACACCCATGATCCAAGTCCAAAGGCCAAGTTTTGCTTCAGGGCCTTGGATCTTGTTACTACTTCTGCCTGGAATGCTCTTCCCCCAGTATGGCTGGTGCTTCATTTTCAAATCGAAGCTCAGATATCAGGTCCTCAGAAAAGCCTGCCCTCATCACTCGAGCTAAAGCATAATTGCCCACCTCATTTTTTGTACTTTCATTCCCTTTTTAACTTTGTTATGAAAGATGTTCTATTTTCAGTTCCTTGATTTCTCTTCCCTCTGAGTTGTTGAACCCATGACGAGCTATGACCTCTGGAAGGTTTCTCTCATATTCCGAGCAGTCATAGGGCTTCTCTATGTGAATTCGCTGGTGTACAGTGAGTTTGGACTTCTCTCTGAAGGCTCTGCTACACTGATCACATTTGTAGGGCTTCTCTCCTGTGTGAGTTCTTTGATGTATAATGAGATATGACTTTTGGGAGAAAGCTTTTTCACATACATTACACTCATAGGGTTTCTCTCCTGTGTGAACTCTCTGATGAATAATGAGATATGATTTCTGGAAGAATGCTTTATCACATTCATTGCATTCATAGGATTTCTCAAATTTTTCTCCTGTGTGAGATCTCTGATGTAGCATGAGATATGACTTCCGGGAAAAGACTTTTCCACATACAGTACATCCATCTGTTTTTTCTCCCGTATGAATTTTCTGATGAGCACTGAGGCTCAGCTTCAGGGTGAAGGCTCTTCCACAGTCTGGACATACATAAGGTTTCTCTCCTGTATGAATTCTTTGATGTCTGCGCAGTGTCGATTTCTCTCTGAAAGCTTTTCCACATTCATTGCACTCAAAAGGCTTCTCCCCTGTGTGTGTTCTCTGGTGTACGCTGAGGTGTGCCTTTTGGTTGAAGGCCCTCCCGCACTCTGAGCACTCATAGGGTTTCTCTCCTGTGTGTGTTCTCTGGTGTATGATGAGCTTTGTCTTCTCTCGGAAGGCTTTGCCACACTCATTGCACAAATACGGTTTCTCTCCCGTATGAGTTCTCTGATGTATATTCAGGGTTGATTTTTCTCTGAAGTATTTGCCACAATCACTGCATTCAAAAGGTTTCTCCCCTGTGTGTGTTCTCTGATGTACACTGAGGTGTGCCTTCTGGTTGAAGGTTTTCTCACAATCCGAACATTTATAGGGCTTCTCTCCTTTGTGAGTTCTCCGGTGTATAATTAGCTTTGTCTTTTCCTGGAAGGCTTTGCCACACTCAGCACACACATATGGTTTTTCACCTGTATGAGTTCTTTGATGTATATGCAGTGTGGATTCCTCTCTGAATGATTTGCCACATTCATTACATGCAAAGTGTTTGTCTCCTCGGTGCACGGTCTGGTGTATACTGAGGTGTGCAGTCTTGTCAAATGTGTCTCTGAATTCTGTACATTCATAAGGTTTTTCTCCTATGTGAGTGATCTGATGAACAATAAGGAGTGAATTTGTGCTGAGAGTTAGTCTGCACTCAGGACATTCATAGGTTTTCTCGCCAGCCTGAGTCATATCATGCTGAACAAAGTCATGACTATGATCTGTCTCATATATATTATAGTTATTGGGTTTCATTCCATTATTTATGTCATGCCTGCCATGAAGTAATAAGTTTCCACATCCATTACATTCATAACATTGCTGAGCTGCAAAGCTGAGACTATTAGGACTGAATAGGCCCAGGTTATCCTTAAAAGTTTTACCATATGAGTCATTTATATAGCATGTATGTCCTGAAGAAACTACCCATGTGCTCTGAGGAAGTGCGTTTACAGATCCATCACGTTCCCGATCTCCTTCCTTAGCCACATATTTCTCATCAGTAGGTATGGCTTGCTTCAGGTATCTGTTTTGGTTTTCCTGGTGCCTCTCTAGCTGGTCTTCAGCTTGCCCATCTTCTAGAAAGAAGAATGATAAACCATACTCTGTGAGTATATACCTTTGTCAGAAGCAGGCTTCTGATAGGTTGATGTTTATTTTAAGTCTAGCTACTAGTCAGGAAGAAATTCCAAATACATAGCTCTACTACATTCAGAGCTTGAGGGAAAAACCCCAAGTTGATCCAATAGGCATTGGAACAGGAAACTAACAGTAAATATGTGACTTGACTGTTTAAGAAAAAATGGCTTCAAACTTTCAGAAGGTAAAAATAGGTTTAGGGAACCATGAATAGGAAAAGGACATTGGAAGAGGAGACTTAGGATTTGGGGAGAGGAGAAATTAGAATATAAAGAGCCTATAAGAAAGACTGAAAACAAGGGAGGTAACCAAGAGAAGAAGGGGACAGGGCCACAGTACAGTTCCTCACCATCTCATCCCAAGCTTACCGTGAGATAATAACTCAAAAAACTAACAATTCGGAGTTAGCAACAACAATACATAGCCTTTAGGACAATGTTGCTGAACTTTCCAAGATGACCAGCTCTCACAGACCCTCCAGGGTCTTATTCTCTTCATCCTCCCATCTCTCATTTCTTACCTGAACAACTTGAACTAGGGATTTCTCTCTTTATGATCCCAAGGACTCCCTTCTCCAAAGAGGCAATCACATCTGGCTTGGTAATAGGATACCCTGTAATGGAAAATGATAGAAGACTTGGGAACCTCTATGTGGCCTTTCGGGTTTCAAATAATTAGGAAGGTACATTTTAATGTGGGTAAATTTCACATGAAATACAAACACCTTTTTCAGTTTAAGAGGGAATAACAAACTTTAATCCCTACAACCTGAGGTCAAAGCATTGACGTACATCAGCAATTGTAAGTTATTCTACTTGGGACACTGTAAATTACTCAGGGAAGCCATCCTCACCCAGAGAGACAAGATGGCTATAATTCTCTAGCATCACATCTCTGTATAGGATCCTCTGAGTAGGGTCCAGTCGATTCCATTCCTCCTGGGTGAAGTCCACAGCCACATCCTCGAATGACACTGATCCCTGTAATTGTAGACTTTTGTTCAATCACTTTGACAAAAATTAAAATGATAGTATTTTCCCAAAGATGTTAATTTTTATTGTAATGATGTTTTAAACTGACACAATAATTTTACATATTTATGGGGTATAGTAATATTTAATATATGAATGCAATATGTAGCGATCGAATTGGGGTAATTAAGAGTGATGATTATTTTTAGATAAAGGGAATATTCTTCAGAGAGAATCTACTGTTTCACTTTCAGAGGCTGGGGATGTAGTGGTACAGTGCCTGCCTAGCATGTGAAAGGCCCTGGGTTTTATCCTCAGCACCACAAGAAGCCTTCTCCAAGATATTTGCTATATCTATATAAAGCAAAGGGCTTTTATACTATAGAAACTATAAAGAACTTCTATAATAAATAAATAAATATAGATAAAATGATAGAAAAAGGTAAAAAAATTTTGAATACTTAACCAAAAAAGGATATTTAAATGGTCAATAAACATGAAGAGGTATCAATATCATTAGTTGGCAAAGAAATACAAACTTAAACCACAAAATGATACCAATATATACCAACAGAACCGCTAAAATGAAGACCAATAACCCAAAAGTTGACAGGAATATGGAGCAAGTAAAACTCTCATACATTGTCAGTGGGACTAAAATGGTGCAGTCAAGGAGGAAAACAGCTTGGTAGAGTCTACTAAAGCTGAAACTATCCCTAACCTAGGACTAGCCACTCTACTACTCTTAGGTACATATCCAATGGAAATGCACACATATGTTCACCAAGACATGTATCAGAAAATTCACACAAGTATTAATTGGACTAGCCAAACTGGAAACATTCATCTGTAGTGGAACAGATGAACAACTGTGACATATTTGTACAACAGAATAGGACAGTCACAGAAAGAGAACAAAGAAATGATACATAAAGTAACAAGGATGACTCTTAAAAACATTACAGTGGGCTGGGGATGTAGCTCAGTGGTAGAGTTATTTCCTGGCATATACGAGGCACTGGGTTCAATCCCCAGTAACATCCCCCCAAAGAAAGCAAATGTGATGAATGAAAGGTAGACCCAATAATAATAATAATAATAATAATAATAATAATAATAATAATGATGATGATGATGATGATGTATCGTCATATTTACACACTTAATAACAAGCTAAAGAAATCAGAAAGTAGTTACTGGTAAGTTAAGAGACATTGACTGAAAGTGGCACAAATGTTTCTGGTGGTATGCCATTTCCTCCATTTTGAACCAGGTATTGGTTATACAGGTATTTTCAATTTTAAGAAATTCATAAAACTGTATACTTTGTCCAATTTTCTCTTTGTGTTATGCTCCAATAAATCTACTCTAATAGATTTTTGTTTGAGTTATATTTCTACAAAAGGTTTTTTAAAAAGGGCTGGGGATACAGCTTTGTAGTAGAGCACTTGCCTAGCATGTACCAGGCCCTGGGTTCAAGCCCCAGCAATGCAAAACAAAACAAAACAACACCTCAAGAGCCCCATAAGAAAAAGAACAGTGTACATAAAAAGAAGTTCACAAAATAAATATAAAAAGTAAAAAATGATGCTCAACCACCTTGATAATTAAATAAACAATGAGGGTTTTTGGGTTTTTTTGTTTTGTTTTGTTTTGTTTTGCAGTGCTCCAGATGGAACCCAGGACCTTGCCCATGTTAGGTGAGCATTCTACCACTGAGCTACATCCCTATCACTTATTTTATTTTTATTATAATTTATCACTATGTTTCCCAGGCTCAACTCAAATTCACAATCTTCTTGCCTCAGCCTCCTAAGGAGCTGGGACTACAGGTGTGTGTTACCTTGCCAAGCTTAAAAAAATGAGCTATTTTCAACTATCAACTAGCTAAGCTTAAAACTATGACAAGAATAGTCAAAAGAGTAATTCCATTCACTAGTGGAAGTGGCAACTTGTACTAACATCTGAAAAAGCAAGTTGAATTGTCCATGCAAGTTCAAAACATGCCCACCTTGTGAGTCCGACATCCTAGAAATATTTGTCACTATACACAAAGATAAATGACAAGAGATCACTGCCACACTGTAATAGAAATCACACAAAATCCTTCAACATGGAGCTGATTAATAAATCAATGTGCATGCATACAAGAGAAAAAATGCATCTGTTAACAATATCTCTATGAGCTAGGGGTAGAGCTCAGTGGTGGAGCACTTGCCTAGCATGTGTGAGGCTCTGAATTCCATCCCTGCCATTACAGCGAAACAAAACCCTAGGGCTGGGGTTAACCAGCAGTAGAGTGCTTGCTCAGTATGCTCAATACCCTAGGTTCCATCTCCAGAGCCACACACATAAAAGAACTATGTCCTGATAGTGAAACATCTATCAAAAGTCCTCACTGAGTAGGACCATACCAGTTGTGCCAGGGATACTTATGGGATGCCACTTGTTTATCTACTCTGGGACTCAGTTCCTCCTCTGTACTCCTTCATAGGGTTAGTGTGAGAATTAAAGGGTGGCTATGCATGTGAAGAGCTTAGTCTAATGCCAGGCATAATGTAAGCTCACTACACGTTAGTCCCTGCTCTGCTGTTTCTCTTGTCATCATTGTCATTTGTATTATCATTATTATTACTACTACTACAGATGAGTACCCTTCATTTGAAATGCTTGGGACCACGAAACATTTTGGATTTGGGATTTTTTTTAGATTTTGGACATAGTGAGATATCTTAGGGATGAGACGTGTGTGAGCACACGGCGTGCTTGTGTTTGAGGTGCTAGGATGGAACCAGGGCACTTGTGCATGTTAGGAAAGGGCTCTACCACTGAGCTATACTCCCAGGCCCCAAGACCCAAGTCTAAACAGAAATTAATTTTTGTTAACTATACGTTTACAAGTGTATGTAAATATAAAGAACAAGGAGAGAAAGACATGTACAGTCAGAAATTAACCAAATAATATGCTATATAGAATGTGATATGAGATCATGAGATGGTTTCTCTTTTTAGATTGTATATTCCTTGAGAATTTCAATTTTTATCTCACTTCTGTAGGAAAGGAAAAAATGATGAAGTCATACAGATTCTTTAAAGAAGAGCAAAGGAGAAAGAACTGAAAATGGTCAGGGACATCATGAATTCTGAACCTAAAAAAGAAAATAATAACCCTACCCTATGGGTTTCTCAGGCTGTAGTGAAATTCCAGATGAGAAAAAGAATGTATTGGAAATCAATTTGAAGGGCTTAGGGATTACTAATTCTGCCTGGCAGCCAGGGTTTTATCCTTATGCCTAGCCAGACCATAAGAGAGCCCTTTGTGCAGGCATTGCTTTGGTTTCCTAAAAAGCCATATCCCTTTAGTTCTGCCCTGGCAGGATGCCTTTGGCTGACATGAAGACATATTTTAAGTCACAGAAGAGCAATCTACTCTTGTATTTCTTACAAGATTGCTGATGGGAAACTTAGCTGACCTGTTAGAGAACCGTGTGATCAACATCAAAAATCTTTGCTTCTGAGGAAGTGGTTCACTTTCTCTATATGTGTGAAATAAATAAAACAAGTGAATGTGTTTCCTTTCCTTTATGTTGTGATTTCTAGGAAGCTCTGAAAAGTAGCTCAACATAAGCATACAGAATATAGAATCCTATGATATCTATAATATACATATAATAGATATATCTTTTTTTAATATATGTATATTTCAACCTTGCCCTGGTCTTGCTCTACTTTCCTAACCCTAATTTTGCATGTGTTTATACATATTCATTTTATGGTATACATAACACAATTATTAATATCAAACTCATATACAAGGCTTCCTATGAATGTGCCAAGCATTGTTCTACATACATATTAACTGATTCTCACAACTATACAAGGTATTAGTATTAGTATCAGTATCCGTATCATCATCATCATCATCCCCACTTCGCAGTTAGGGAAACCAAGGCACAGAGAGGTTAGATGGCATGCCTAAGCTCATAAAGCTGTTAAGAGCAGTTTAACTCCAGAGTCTGTGGCCGAACCACTATGCACTATTGTTTCCTTGCTTCTACTTATCCTAACATGGGTAGGAGGGAGGGGGAGAAGCAAGTAAGAACTTACCCGGAACTTAGTCATGTCTGACTGTTGTGGAGAGAAGGCAAAGGCCTAAAAAGGCAGAGCTGTTGATAGGGAGGAGGAGAAAAGAGGAGAGCTGCGGATGGCAAGGAATACCCAGATTGAAAGTTCACCAAATCACCAGGCCAGAAATCCACAAATGCCAGCTGGTAAAATGGCCACGCTATAGCTAAGAAAAAAGGGAAAGGACATTTGTTTTCCCCACGGATCCCCATCACTCAACAGCACAGCCCGATCATGGATCTCGTAGGCCACCCAACACTCACCACCACAGATCGAGACCTCCCATCACACACTTCACAGAGCCCCTCATCGCTTACCCTACAGACCCCATCACTCATTCCACAGACCCTCTCACCATACACCCCAAATACTCCCACCATTCACCCCACAGTCCCTCCGTCACTCACTCCCCGCTTCCCATCACTCATTCCACAGACCTCCCATCACTCCATCTACCCCCATCCCCAGACTCTCACTACTCATCTGAGAGCCCCTCCCCAAGTACTCACTGAGTAGATTCACGTCTTTAGAGTCCACACTCGCCCGTGTCACTCCGCCTGCAGAGTACCAGCCCCTCACTTCCGCTCTCAGCGAACTCTGCCCTCCTTCACCCAGTGCTCTGATTTTAAAATCCGAATTTTTGTTTTGGCAAAGTCTCCTTGATGTTTCCAAAATCAGTCATAACTTCTCTGATAGCCACTTTTTCGTCCTTCACCCCGCCTTGGTTACTGTCACGCATTATACTTGCTCATGCGCAGTAGCCCTTCATGAAGCCATCTGCGCTTGGTAGCCAGAATTATTTTGATTACCACAACGATTGTACTTGGCTGGCAATAAAAATGGCCGCGCCGTAAGCCAGTTGGCAGGGAGCAGACATCTTTATAGCTTTTACTATTCCGTACAGCGGAGAAAATGTGCCTCGTAAAGTTTAGACGAGATGGAATTTGGGGAGGAATTCGAAAACTTGGAGATAAGAGTGGAGCCCTTTGTGCAAAAGCAGGTTACAAATGGGCCGAGTTACTAGCGTTTTGGTGTTGTTTTTTTTTTTTTTTTTATGAATTTAGAGCAAGGGACCACAGCGCCCCCCCCCCGTGTGACGATACCACTGCGGAGAGGGGGTGCTGGAATGGAACTGTCCTCTCTGGGAACTATTACCTCGGAGAAGGGAATCAGAGAGGAAAATAATACATTCTCTTGCAAATCAATACCACTGTGGAGATGGTAAGAAAATGTGGAGATGGTAATGCTCTCAAGGAAATAGCACTAGGGTGAATTGCGCTGGTTTGAAGAAAGCTCTAGTTGGTACAGTCCGCTGTGGGAGATACCACTGGTGCAGATGTGGAGAAAGCCGGGGGGTGGTACAAGTCTGTCCTAAAATAAAGAGAAATATGAAGAATGTGACACCGGTAAAGACAAGTACAGAGAAAATCAGAAACAAATGACAGGGGAAAAGGAAATCTTACGAGGTAAGAGCTTAGTCAGAGACTAAAAGAGAATCGACACAGATCTGACCCCAGAACCCCGAGGCAGAGAGACATGGGAAGGCCCAGATGCTTTGGGGCCAGGCTCAGGTCCTCCTGGATGCCTGGAGAAAAGAAGGTGAGACAGCGATCAGGTTCTGGATTTCAAACTCCATACCCCTTTCATCACACTCTATCGCTTGACCATGTGAAAGACAAATGCACTGACAATTAAGGAGATAATTATTTTCAGGCTATTGCAATAGGGAACCATTTCATTGATAAGGAACATCCCAAAGACAAGAAAGGGGACCTGAGATTCCATAAGGAAGGTGAACAAAGGAGTAGTCCTTGAGTCATGAAGAATAGGCAGAGGTCTTATTCAGAATTTACAGAAGCACTGGGACTGTTATAGACATGTATCCCCTTCCCAAAAGTTGTATTTTGAACCCTTAACCCTCAGTGTGATGATTTTTATAAACGGAGCCTTTGGGAGATAATTATGGTTAGATGAGGCCATGAAGAAAAACCCTGACCAATGGAATTGGCGCTCTAATAGGAAGGGACATTCGAGAGCTTGCTCACTCGCCATTTGTCCAAAAATATAAGTTACATGAAGGCATCTGTCTACACTCCAAAAAGAGGATCCTCACCAGAAAACAAATTATCTGGGATATTGATCTCGGGCTTCTCACCCTCCAAACTGTGGGAAATAAATTTTCTAATGTTTAAACCACCCAATCTCTGGTATTTTGTTATAGCAGCCAAACTGACTAAGGGACCTGTGACGTTAGCTCTTTGCTGAAACACAAGGGGGGGAGGCATGTCCAAAACCATCACTGCTTTCAGTGTCACCTCCATTTAAGCTTACTCTGCCCCTCATGACTCTCATTCCTTCCAGCCCTATCAATCATTCAAATCCATTCTCTTCTACTGTGTGCCAAGTGTCTCTCCACTCAATAACACTATTATTCACTTTCATCCACTCTAAGTCATGGCCACCATTCATACATACTCTATCCTATATGAAAACTTTTGGAGGGGCAGAGGATGTAACTCAGTGGTAGAGCATGTGCCTACCATGTGAAAGGTTTGAGCCCCAGCATGGGCACGGGGGGGCATTTTTCTATTGTGGTAAAAAGAAGAGAGCATGAAATGTACTACTTTAACCATTTTATATTTTTGCTGTTGATTTTTTGTTTTTTTGTTTGTTTGGGTTTGGGGTTGTTGGTTTTTTTAAATAGGGTCTCACTATGTAGTTGAGACCGACCTGGAACTCACTGTGTAGCCCAGGCTGATCCCAAACTCACAGTGATCCTCCTGCCTCAGCCTCCCAAGTGCTGGGATTACAGGCATGCGCCACCACGCCCAGCTTTTACTTTAACCATTTAAAGCATACAATTTTGTGTCATATAATACATTCACAATGTTGTACAATCATATCTACTATCTTGTTCCAGACCATCTTTATTAGCCCAAAAGGAAACTCCACAGTTATTAAGTACTAGTTTCCCATTCGCCTCTGCTTCCAGCTCCTGGCTACCATTTAATCTTCTTTCTGTCATTGTATTTTCCTATTGTAAATATTTCATGTACATCTACTGTGGACTTTTGTATCTTCACTTAACAGTGTCTTTGTCTTGATTCATTGTGTGCTGCTATAAAAGAACACCAAAAATTGGGTAATTCATAAACAATGGAAGTTTATTTGGCTCTGGAGGCTGGGAAGTCCAAAAGCATGGCCCCAGAATCTTTCCAGAGAATTTATGCTACATCATAACAGGGAAGAAGGACAAGCAAGCACACTCAAGACATAAGAGAAATTGGGAAACTTTGTCTTTTTATCAGGAACCACTCCTGAAATAACTAAACCATTCCTTCAATAATGGCATTAACCCATTCATGAGGACTCTGTCCTCATGACCTAATCATGGCAGACCCTTAAAGTTCCATCTTTTAATACTGTTGTGATGGCAATTAAGTTTCAACATGAGTTTGGGATGGAACATTAAAACCACAGAATTCTTTAAGGATCACCAACATGATAGCAAGTTATCAGTATTTCATTCCTTTTTATGACTGGATAATACTCCATTTTGGAGACAGACCATCCTTAGTTTGTCCATTCTTCCATTAACTGACATGTGGGTTGTTTGTGTCTTTTGGCTACAATGAATGGTGCTGCTGTGAACATTCATATACAAGTTTTCATTTAAACACTTGTTTTCAGGTTGAGTATATACCTAGGAGTATAATGGCTGGATCATGTGGTAGTTTTGATATTTAACTTTGTGAAGACCACCAAACCATTTTCTATGGTGGCTGCAGCATTTTACTTTCCCAGCACATGTATGAGGGCTCTAATTGCTCCACATCCTCTATAACACTTGCTATTTTCTGTTTGTTTTTATGATATCCCTCCTAGTAGATACGAAGTGATATCTTATTGTGGATTGTTTTTTTTTTTAAAAGTCCTACTAAACAGACCAGGCTGGCCTCAAATTTGCAATTCTCCTGCCTTAGCCTCCCCTATAGATCAGATTACAGGATTACACTATGATGCTCTGCTTCATTGTGGTTTTGATTGTATTTCTCGGATGACTAATGACAGTGAGAATATTTTCATGTGCTTTTTGGCCATTTGTAGATCTTCATTGGAGAAATTTCTATTCAAATCTTTTGCCCATTGTTAAGAGGGATTTTTGTCTTTTGGTTGGTAAGTTGTGAGAGTTCTTTATATATTCTGAATACCAAACTCTTATTAGATATGTAATTACTTAGCCTTTACCAGATTATAATTTTCACTCTGCTAATAACATTCTTTGGTGTTGTTGTGTTGTTTATTTCTGTTTTGGTTTGTTGTTGTTGAGACAGGGTCTTACTCTGTAACTCAAGCTGGCCTTCAACTCACTATGTAACCCAACTGGCCTTGAATTCGCAGTGATCCTCCTGTCTCAGCCCCCTGAGTGCCACCGCGCCCAGCTTCACTCAACTCATAATATTCTTTGATGCACAAAAGTTCTTGATTTTAATGAAGTTCAATTGATCTATTTTTTTTCCTTATGATTTTGGTGTCATAGTTAAGAAATCCTTGCCAAATGAAGTCCTAAAAGGAGTTAAAGTTAGATTGGGAAGATAGAAGGACACAATGGTTGATGCTGTGCTTCTGGGAACAGGATAAAACTACAGCGGCTGGAGGCAGAGATGATCTGTAACGAACGAGGGTAACGTTTAACACTGTTAAATGCCTGTGCCAGAATTTGAAAGGGTGAGATAGGGGAAATTCTGTCTTCATGTGTTAAACAAATGAGCCAAAGATAGCCCTTCTGTGCCTACCTCCTCCTAATTATTTCTTCACTGTGAGCAGGGACATTTTGCTTCCAAAGCAAAATAAACTTATACATCTAATTATTTTAGAAGCTGCACTAATTGAGCAGATTCATAGCCAATTAGAGCCTGCCAGAGCTGCATATGGCACAAAACCTGAGCTTCACGTTTGGCTAGAGATATGTATGGTAATCCCACACCACAAACTCTCCAAGCTGCTACTGCCCTTCAGAGCTCTCTAACCCAGCCTAGTGCTTTGCAGCTGAGCGACACCACTTAATCGTGTAAGCCCTCTCTCTCATCCCTCAGTGCTCCAGCAGTTCCCGCAAAGTTCTCTTCTGCAAATCCGACCCTTGTTCAAGACTTCTGTTTTGACTCCTGCTGTGGCACAAACGTGTTGCTCAGTAGGCATTATTTAGTAAAGTCTATTGTACTGCCACCTTGTGGTTATACTTTTCCAAAACTATTCAAACTCCTCACAAGGAGTGAAGAAAAAGGAAAGATTGCTGGAGAAAGATCTTCAAGTAGTCAGTAGGAAAATCATTTGGCAAAAAAAATCCTGGAGGGTCTCAGGTAGGACTCAGAATCTGGAACGCCTCTTCTTCAGGTTGACATGGCACTGCTTTGTCCTGGATCACACCTCTGTGCCTCACTGGCCTGGTCAAGCAGAAACACCAGTACTCAAGTGAAACCATCTCCATAGAACCGACTTCTAGGGACTCAGAGGTACCCAGCTGCCCAAGGAAAGAAGTCAGCTGTCCACCTGTGTCCACACTAGGCAGGTGCTAGACACTGTAAGGCCTGTGGGTTTGAACACAAAGTAGGGAGCTGTGGATACCTCTGGACTAAGGGTGGGCTACCCTGACCCAAGTGTGGGAGGAGCTCCATGCCTGGGCCTCTGACTTGGAGGATGCTGAGGTAAGTATGGCAGATAAACAAGATGGGACGATAAGGCAAAGGCCTGAGACTGGACCTTAAAGGTCAGTGAGGGGAAACGCCTTTGTGAACAGCTAGCATGATTCTGTTATTGTCTAACTTGGCCCTGCTATGTCAGATGGCATCTTTTTAGTTCCTTACAGTTTCCTATAAAAGCCTCAGATTTGGGCTGAGATGGCTAAAGTATTTTTTTTAAAGACTAAATTAAAAACAAGGCACTTAAGCAGAGCACTAACATGTTTGAGGCCATGATTCCATTCTCAGCACAGCAAAACAAAAACAAGAAAAAAGGGAAATTAAAACCCCACAATGTTTACATCCCCAC